AATGAAAAGATGAAGCATGATCGAAAATCCAAAGCATAACCGAGAGACTATACACCAAATTTTTTTTTTTTTTTTTGTACGTGAAGAGATTGCATGTTCGAAAAGCCAAAGCATGTTTTTTTATTTTTTTGGTCCAAAAGAATGAACCAATAGAGGATCAAAATAACCAAAAAACAAAAAACAAAAACAATCTGAGACTCAATAAATCCTAAAAACATATCATTTAATCGGACCTATTATCGATTCAAACTTGAAAGCAATGCACCTCTTACCTTAGTCCTATGGTTTTGTCGACCTTGCAGAGACGAATGCCTCCGGTTGATAGCAGCTGGTGAAGAACAATGGGAGTAAAAAGGTGCATCTGATAAAATGTATTTTATGTTTAAGATAACTTGATTTTATTAGTTGAGAGTTACAGTAGTAATTTTATAAAATAATATATTGATCTGGATTATAATATCACATCTTTTGGTGGTATTAAAATATTTCTATAATACAAGTCTATTATATAAAAAAATATATACGATTAGTATACATTTTTGAAATTAATAAGGAATAAAAATTGTTTACCAAATAAAGTATAAGACCTAATTAAATAAAAAATAGTATAATTTAATATTTAATCTCCTCATAATACGTTTACCAAACGAATCATTAATGTTCCTAAAATCTTCGCATTGCCACTACAACCATACTCTCACATCTCACCATCATCGAGGTCACACCTATTATGAACAATGATATAAACATTAAGGATTTTACTATAACACTCAAAAAAAAAAAATAGTATTGTATCTCAAAGTTTTATTATTTTAATGGGCGTGTTTTATATTTTTGTGATTCATTTTATAACAAAAAAAATTATAATTTTTATTGTTTTTACCATTTTTGTAGTACTTCAATCGATCACACAAGTGACAAAAAAGTAATAAAAATAGTATCACAATTTTCCAATGGCCAAAAATGTCAGATGACATTCATCTAAGGGTCAATACACTTTTGTCTCCTAAATTATAGTCCAAGTTTCCGGGTGAATCTAAACTCAAACATCCGTTGTATTTTGGATTAAAAATATATGAGTATCATAAGTTTTGATAATAAAGTGAACAAGATTACACAAATGGTAAATATTTATACACATATACAGATTTAGTGAATTAAAATTTTTTAAAAAAAAATTAAAATTCAAAATCTACTAAATCTGATGGTGAGTATAAATCTTAACTGAAAATCTTTTAATTCTTGTGAAATTTGAGTGGATCTAAACTCCATTTAACCAATGTAACAACCGAATTAAATAAACCAATTCAATTTCTTTTTATTCTTTCTTCTTCTTCTTCTTCTACTTCTTTATCTCCGCTCAGGTATTCCACTAGGAGTCTCTTGATAGTACATTTATTCTCTCTTGTAACTTCTGGGCCATTATAATGTATGTATGTATGAAAAGGATGAATTATATTCGCCTCCCTTAAGGTATGGTTAAATAATAACGAGAACCCCTCTTGAATGAAAAATAACAGTGTACTCCCTTCTGCTTTCGTTGTTGTAACAAATGACACCCAATCGGTAATGTACCGTTAGGAAGACGTCATAATTTTGATGATGTAAGTAATTTTTTTTTTTAAATTCCAATCTTACCCTTTATTGACCACCTCCATCTAAACTCATTCTTCCTGTAAAGCCCATTTCACTTCTCTATCTTTCTCTCTCTGTCTCTCTCTCAACCAAGAAAATTCATTTGTATTAAGTTATCACCATCCGTAACTAGATTGTCAAAAACCCACTAGATGTGCAAAATCCATCAATGTGGAAGTGGAAAGAATCTATTTTTTTGTTGCCCCAATAACCAGAAATTTTGGGGAGAGGGAGAGAGAGGGAGACTAAAGCTTTTGGACCCAAACCCATAACAACAGCCACCATGAAAACTCCCACTCCCTCAAACGCCCTCACCCGCCCAATCCTTGCACCTCCCAATTCAACAAACAAACCCAATCCAATTCATCTCCTACCAATTATGTATATATGTACATAATATATATATATATATATATATATATATATATATATATATATATATATATATATATAGTTATTGTCTGTGCCTGAAGGCACAAAGTAATAAAAAATGATAAACAATAAACATATTTATCAACATATCCAAAATCAAATTACAAATATAGAGAAAAATAAATGAATTTAAGTATCGGTTATAATGGGGGTGAGAGGTGGTGCTGGTGGTGCTGGGGTGGTGGTGGCAGTGGTGACGACAGCGGCGACAGCGACGACAACGGTGGTGGCGGCAGTGGCAACGACGGCGACAGTGATGATGGTGGTGGCGACAACAACGATAACGGCATAAACAGCGGTGACAATGGCGACATCGGTGGTGGGGGTGGTGGCGACGACGGTGGTGGTGGTGGATGCGGCGATGACAGTAGTGGTGGTGGCGGCGGCGGTGGTGGCGGCAACAACAGCATTTTATGAGAAATTTATTCTAAAAGTACTTTTAAAAAGTCACTCCAAATACCCTTAGGGCCCTATTTTTTCTATTAAATTTAGGGTGTTAATATTAGCCGTTAGATTAACTTTAAAATAAAATTTAAAACGATCTCAACTGCGATAGCAAAAGTCATTTTGTTTATCTTTTGAGATTTGAATTATAAGCTACTTTATTATATAGACTAGTTATTGTATGTACTTGAAGGTACAGAGTAATGAAAAATGATAAACAATAAACATATTTGTATTCATATTCAAAATTAAATCACAAACATAGAGGAAAAATAAATGAATTTAAGTATCGATTTTATAGTGAGGGTGAGAGGTGGTGGGCAGCACTGGTGGTTGTAGGAGACGATGATGGTTATGGTGGGGTAGCATTGACCGTGGTGGCGGTGGTGGTTGTAGTAGCGGTGGCAACAGTGGGGGTGGTGTGGTGGTGACGGCAACGACGACACTGGTGGTGGTAGCGACAGCAAGGGTGGTGAGGGTGGCAACGATGGGGACGATGGTGGCGGGTAGCAATGACCGTGGTGGCGGTGGCAGTGGTGGTGGTAGCAACGACAGCGATGGGGTAGCGGTGGTGGTGGGGGCTGTAGTGGAGGCGATGGTAGTGACGGTAGCAAGGGTGGTGGGGGTGGCGACGACGGGGACGATGGTGGTGGTGGTGGCTTCAGCGTCAGCGTCGGCAGCGGTAGCGGTAGCAGTGCTGGTGGTAGTGGTGGTGGCGGTGGTAATGGTAGAGGGTAGTGGGTGGTAGAGATAGTGGTGAGACAGTTTCAAATATTATTTTTTTTTTGAAGTACTTATGAAAAATAATTTCTAAAAGTACTTTTAAAAAGTCATTTTAAACACACTCTTAGAGAATTTTTTTTCTTATTAAATTTAGAGTGTTAATATTAGTCATTGGATTAACTTTAAAGTAAAATTGAAAGAGAACTCAATTGCGAATAGCAAAAATTATTTTATTTATCTTTTGAGATTTGAATTGTAAGCTACTTTATTATATAAACTAGTTATTGTCTGTGCTTGAAGACACGGAATAATAAAAAATGGTAAATAATAAATATATTTGTATTCATATCCAAAATCAAATCACATACATAAAAAAGAGATAAAAGAATTTAAATATCAATTTGTAATAGGGCAAGAGGTGGTGGACGACAGTGGTGGTGGTAAGAGACGGTGATAGTTGGGTGGGTGGCAATGACTGTGGTAGCGGGGGTGGTGTCGATGGCGACGGTGGCTATGGTGGTGGTTGCCGTGGTGGTGGCGACGGCAGTGGTGGTGACGGCGGCGACAGTGGCAGTGGCCGTGGCAGTAACGGCGGTTGTGGTGGTGGTAGAGGTAGTGGTAGTTTCAAATACAATTTTTTTTTTAAAGTATTTATGAAAAATAATTCATAGAAATACTTTTTAAAAAATCACTCCAAACACATCCTTAAAGACCTATTTTTCTATTAACTTTAGGATGTTAATATTAGCCGTTAGATTAATTTTAAAGTAAAATTTAAAACGATCTCAACTGCGAATAGCAAAAGTCATTTTGTTTATCTTTTGAAATTTGAATTGTAAGCTATTTTATTATATAAATATCTACATGAGTATGTATTTACAAATCCTATAATTAGAGATTTTGAGTGGAGGGAAAAAGTAAGAGAGAGATATTGAAGCTTCTTGACTCAAACCCATTGTGTGTGTATATATATACACACACACACAAAACAGATTTGATTTCGCCCTCACCCGCTCATCTCCATTGCCTCAACCGATCAATATCCTCTTTTTCCCGACAGATTTAATTTCGCACTTTAAATGAATTTGATTTTGCTATTTCTGTAATCAAGATCATTTTATTGTGATTGTGGAAAGTGGTGAAAGACTGAAGGTAGTTTGGTTGGTGGTTTCCAGAGGGTGGTGGCTCACGGGTAGAGTTGGATTTTGGTGGTTCGTAGAGGGTGGTGGCTAGTAGCAGTTGTTTAGACGGATTTAGGTTGATGTGGAAAAATGGAGAGGATAACTTGGGGGCCGGTGGAGTCGAGGGCATTATAATCATTTAGATCTCTCCGTTGCTAACAAGGGAGGTCAGTATTATTTTCTATACATAAAGAAGTCTAATTATTATTTGACTAAACCTCAAGGGAGGTAGTTGTAAGTTACCCCTATGAAGACTATCCTCTCTAAATTTGTTAGATTACCAATTTACCATGTATATAGGTTTGACTATCCTCTCTAAATTTGTTAGATTACCCTGTATATAGGTTTGAGTAAATTCAACTTATTTAAAGAGTAGACTTCTTACACATTATAGAGAACAGAATAGTCTTTCACAAAGTCAAAACTGGACGTTAACATTAACAGAGTTAAGAAGAGAGGGATTATGAAGCATTTATAGGTAATGTTTAATGAGTTACCATCAATTTTACAAATAGTTTAACACTCATACCATCCACTTATGGTAAGCTTGAATGGTACACGTACATAAAATAAACCACTCATCAACACTTATTATTATCATTCTTCTCACCCAAAAACAGGTGTTATCAATACAACTCAGATGAGCAAAACCTGGTCAGATTTTTGCTCCCAATCCAAACTTAGCTGGCAATATCTTTTTCATGTGGGACCCAACAACAGAAGACAATCTAGAAAAACAACATACATTAGTGGGCCCACAAAACTTAGATAAGGCCCACACCAAATAGTGGGCCCACAAACCCACATGTCCCTACAACAGATGAGAATGGCACAGATGCCAATAAGAAAGAAAACCTACCCCACCTCAAACTCTCACATCAAACAAATTTCTCCACTATAAGAAAGGTTCGGTGGGGTCATTGGAACCCCCACAGACACCCCCACCTCTTCAGTCCTACAAACCCTAAAACTCTCTCTCTCTCTCTCTCTCTCTCTCGGGTTCAGATATGGCCCTCCACGACTTCTCCATCCCAGAAAGCCATCCCCACCCAAACTCAAATCCAAATCTGGACCAAACCCATTTTTCAACACCCACCACCGCCACCGCCACCGCCACCGCCACCAAAGCCATCAAACCTACCTCTCGCTCTGCTTCAAACACCCACACCCAGTTGGGCCTTCCAAGAAAAAGTAACGCTCTTTCTTCTTCCTCCTCCAAGGACCGCCACACTAAGGTGAACGGCCGCGGACGACGAGTCCGCATGCCGGCGCTATGTGCCGCCCGTATCTTCCAGCTGACACGGGAGCTCGGCCACCGCTCTGACGGCGAGACCGTAGAGTGGCTCTTACGCATGGCGGAGCCCTCCATCATCGCCGCCACTGGCACCGGCACTGTCCCAGCAGTCCCGGTATCAACCAATGCCGGAACCCTCCCCTTTTCTGTGTCACCGCCCTCGGTCTCCGCCCCTATGAGTAGGGTGCAACCGGTGGCAGCGGTTCCTGGTGGTGGGCACATTCCGGCGGGGATGTTCACGGTGGCGCCGCCTAGCTGTAGGTTGGACCTATGCCAGCCTCCGCATCTTGGTTTGGACTTTTCCAGTAATGGATACCGGCACATGCCGTTCACAGCGTTGTTGTTGCAGCCGGCCACAGAAGATGTGGAGGACAGGCCCCGAGAAGAAGTCAAGCCTGTTAGGGAGTAGTAGATATATGTATTTTTTTTTTTTGAAAGGGGGGGAGGGTGGTTTGGTGTTATTAATGGTGGTGAGTTATTGTGTAGGAAGGACTTAATGAAGAGGAAGGTGGGATTAATAAGGAAAACCGAAAGTCTTGTAGGGCATGGTGGTTTCTTGTACAAGGTGGAGAAGTTGGAAGAAATTTGTTTTGGAGTTGGAGAAAGTTTTCTGATTAGCTGGGTTTTATGTTTTCTTTATTGTCTTTTCTTTTTTGAAGTTTCTGAATAGGGTTGTAAGGGTGGATGAATTGGAAGAGATGTAAATTATGAGACATGTACAAGTCTTAATTGCATGATAGACAAGTTCAGTTCAGCCTCAAACTCTGAAATTGTACAGAATTTGAATCTCTTGTGGTATGGTTTGGCTCTCTCTCTCTCTCTCTCTCTCTGGACGAACTAGTCAATTTGTATTAGTCTGGCGTTTGGTGATGGCATGGATCACCTAATAAGCTAGCTAGTACCCTTGTATGGTGACAAAAATAGAAAAATCAGGGAATGAATGATTGCTTTATACACACTAGAGGATATACCCCTGTAATTTGTCAGCCAATTTGATTTTTTGACTGCCATGGACCACCAGTACTACTGATAGACTGAGAATTACATTGGATTCAATGAGCACAACCAAAAAAGTATCAGGAAGAGCTCACGGTTCAGAAACTCATATCATATCTGCACTACCAAGATAGCTGTTCTCCTGTCAATGCATAGCATCAAAAAATAAATAAAAAACACAGAAACCATGGCAGACTTACTGCACTGCATTTGCAAGTTCATGCTAAAGGTGGACAGAGGCTGGAATACATTGCTTTATGACATGGATCCCTGAAACCAATATGAATTACTGTGAACCAGCCAAACAGCTCCTTTGAGTTAGACTACCAACAAAAACCCGATTGTCACAGTATCTCCAGCCCCAGTATGCCCAGCATGTCCCCGTATTGATCTTAATCATATAGACCTGTTGTCATTCAAACAACTCCAGAAAATGCAATCCACCCTCCAATTCGACACACTAAAAATCTTTAAGAAATACCTGATCCCCATTCCATTCCACTTTATTAATTTCGAATTTGTTCAGAATTCATATACATGATCATTCTACTTTTGCCAACCAGATCTTCTAATGCCGTAAAGCATGCGGCTTGAGAAAACCAATGTGCATAAACGGCAACATACTAGCAGAACCAATGGGAAACAGAAGAAAACATATAGCATCTGTAAGATAATGATCTGCAACAAAGCTTATTGATAAAAAAATAAATATAAGAATGGAAAGTAAAGTTTGCACCAAGGAGACTTTACATGTAGACCGAAGCACAGCAGCAACAAATTACGAAACTGTGCCTTGTGCAAGCCAGGTACCCCTAATGTTTATTTCCAAAAATCCACCACTTTTTCTTCCTTTTAGGATCACAGGGTGCCAACTCTGCTTACAAACCAAATAGTGAATATTTCATTACAATATTAGGGGTAGATGTAAAAACTAAATCAAGTCCAGACCAAACTTTCAGAACAGAATACTACACTTGCAAACACCCAGGCCTTAATTTCTCAACCCATCCCACCTCATTTTTTGCTTGTTTCGATTTGAATTATTGATCGTACATTTTTTATTAAATAGATCCCAATAATTTTAAGAATTTCCCCTGAGCTAAGCAGCGTAGTCCAACAGCAGGCACTCTAAATACATGCATTATACATGTGACAATGCAAGCCCTACGTCTAGTGCAGAGCCCATGAATACAGCACCAAGCTAATTCAGTAGAACGCTATGAATCATAAAGACGTCAAAAGTTATGATTTCTTATATTATGCCCGCAACGTAAGAGCAAAGCAAAGTTAGCAAACTCTACCTCCTTGGGGATAGATTGAGTTGTAATGCACCTCTGCCCAAAAGCTCAGGTAAATGACTGCAAAAGACACAAAATCACCCATAAATTATTTACTTGAACAAACACATGTGCAACTCAGAAAAGTCAAACTGCAACCTTTTAAGTGACAATAAATATAGACAAAATCTAAATGCAAACAGGTGAAACTAAAATGTGCATTGAAAAACCAAACCGCATGTCAAAGAACAAAAGCTCCAAGGTCCTAATAATTCATAAAATATCTGAGATTATTGTAAATTGTGCTACAACTTATAATCAGTAGGTGTCCAACAAGGGTAGAGCCACACGATAAAGTTTTAATACCATAACAGACGGAAGTTTTACATAATAAAATCTGGGATTGTTCACTTTTATGATTATTCACGCAATTGCTGATTTTACAGGAAACAGACATTATGACAAGAAGAAGCCTTAAATTTAATCTATACAGATTTTATAAAACTGAGATTTCATAATATTAAATAGATGCATATCTTCAATGCATATAATGCGTGTTGTTGACTGCACCTGCTAATGAGAAATCCTATATGCCCCTTGTATCTAGTAAGATCTGAATAGTGGTATGAGGGGCTAGCATGTGTGTATTATTACCTAATAGTAAGTTCACGTCTATTTAAATCGGTAATCTATTTGATCCTATCTAAATTGTACCGTCCAATTCTGTAATATGATGTTATGCATCATCAGTTCTTGCTAAAAACTTCACATGGTTTAATTGATTTATAGTACGCCAAAGGAGAAAGGGCATCATGCTAAGGGAGAAATATAGGAAGAAGGTGCTCTATAGAAACTCCCCCCTCCCCCCCCCCCCCAAAAAAAAAAAAAAAACCCCCACCAGGGCCCCTGAAAAACCTCGAAAAGAAAAACCCACACACAAGAAAACCCAAAAGATAAACCAAAGGAAAGAGAAAGAAAGAGGAAGACAAAGAAGATGTGTTCTATACAAACCCCTATTTCACTGCCTTCCACAAGTTTGTTTGGAGTAAAAGGCCAACAAAATGCACAGCTGGAGAGAGAGAGACATGTGTTCTGGTTAACTGAAAAAGCATCCTGTACATGACCTTTTTATGGCCCAAAGTTGTTGAACACCATAAGTATGACTTTGCCGTAAGGTACATGATGTCACAACTCTCATGTCCACCTTGGTTTTATAAGGAGAGATACAATATGATGTTTTCTTTCCTCAAAAGATTAGAGGAGCAACAATTATTGTACATTTCTCAGAGAAGCATCCCCAAGAAACGGACAGAATCTTCAGGGCTGTTTGGTTTGTGTCTCCAAATAATTTTCTGTTCTCAAAAACAGTAAAACTCTTGAGATGTTGTTTGAACAGTAATTTTCAAAAATAATTTTTCAAAAAAATTGGGAATTAAGAACAAAAACTAGAGAACAACATTTATATGTTTTCTGGGTTTTCAAACCAAAATTAAAAACAAGGGAAACAACCCCTAAACTCTTTAATGGGGTCTCCTCTTTGAATCGCCTTAACAGCAAACTAGTCATAGTATATAGGCTTTTTTTTTTTTTGGTCTCCCTAACTCTCTCTCTCTCCACTTTGCCTCTCAAGTAGAAGCCGCAGAGTGAACACACACAGAGCCAACATCTTCTCCGACGAAGGGTGTACTTCGATGAAACCAGAGCTCTCCCTAACTCTTTCTCTCTACTTCGGCGAAACCAGATGAGAACACACACACACACACTGACCCACAAACTATCCGGCATCTTCTCTATCTTTTCAAGATCTGGGTTCTAGATGTCCTTCAAGATATGGATTCAAGATCTTTTTCTCCAGTTACTGTTATTTTTTGTGGCATCTGGGTTCAAGATCTCCTTCATATCCAAAATTTTTTTTTTTTGAATCCGGATACCTGTTTGGCAACTAGGTCTTCTCCGGCAACACAGTTTAGTGTCTTCCCCTTTTACACACACACACACAACGCAAATCTGGGTTGCTTCAAGGTTATCTCCAACAACTGGGTCTTCTCCGGCAACTAGGTTCGCCTTCTTCATCGTACAACAGTGGTTGGGTTCGTCAAATCTGTGCTTCTCTCTCAATCTGTTCATGTTATGGATCTTAATAGACAAATTTGTTCATGTTATGGATCTTGAATTCTGGGGCAAAGCTCTGGCAACAAATCTGGCTAGATTTTTCCTTCTTTTTTTTTGGGTATTTTAACAAGTTTAATATATTAAAATATTTTTATATGAAACAGTCAATCCAAACAGGTTTTACTGTTTTTTATTTTGTGGTACTTTTTTTTGGAATCATCTAACCAAACAAGTTCTTCGTCTCAAAAAAATCAAAAATACACTTTTGTAAAACTCTTCTCAGAAACTATTTTCAGATATTATTTTTAGAGACTCAAACTAAACAGACCCTTCCTTTTTCCTGTTCCTGTGATCTCTTTTTCATAGGAGATAAATGTGTAGCCAATTGGTAGCCAGCCTTCACCCTCATCAAATTGAGGGGGAGTAAGAGATTACCATCAATAGTTGTAGGAAGAACAACAGTTCCATACAAAGTAATAGCAGGATTCAAACAATTTGGGTAGTACAAATTGCCCGTTGTTTATTCTGTCCTGTTACTTAATTTATGCCTTATTTGGGCTAGAGCTAGTTGGATTCTCTTTCCTATCCTTGGGCTAGCGCTAGTTGGATTCTCTTTCCTATTCTTGTTAACAATTGCACAAGTTCATCACTAAAACCTCCGAAGGAAATTGAAAATTATTCAAACTTACAAACATGTGCGCATCACAAATTAGTTTTGAAGACTGTAAAATCAAGCACATTATATAAATTTTTATTCCTCGCCATTTAAGCACCTGACATTTTTACAAAAGTGTACTGCATCCAGTGTTACATTGAAAACATATCTATTTTTTGCCTTTTTGTAAAAGAAAAAGAGATGATAGAATAGAACATACAGCATTCAATAAGGACAAACAGAGTGCAAATAATTCAGCTGCAGGAATCAATAAATTGAAAAAAATTAACAATACTATTCTTTGTCATCACACAAAAATTCAGAATGCACTATAGTTACCTCGTTTTGACTTTTCAACCTTTGGAAGTATCTCAATGAAACAGGTGTCTTTAAATGAAGTAATGACCAAAATTTTTACACCATACTGCAACAAATGATTAGAACATGTTAGCCAAGGATATTGTATATTCTTCCAAAAGCCAATTTATCTTCGGTATATGTAAGCTACTAAACTTACACAATAAACATACTTTAAAACTATTTGGTGTGTGGAGACCCTGGCATTGTCAACTTAGTAAGCAAGAGCTTTACCAGAGAAAAACATCTCTTTAGAGTAACATAACCCAACTTGTGGAAATAGGCATAACATTAAAATATCTCTCTATTGCGTAATGCATTAGATTCAAGAAGTCAGATATAAACAGCAAACATAATAAAGACTGAGAAAGGTAATATGCACTAAGCTTCAACA